TTTTTCCTTAGAAGCCTCCATATCTTTTGCTTCTAACAAAATGAAACTGCAGCTGCTCACATTGATTTTCATTAGCTACAGGGCAGGCAGAAACTTTCAAACATGAATTTTTCTGCGTTAGATCAGATGGCCGTGATGCTGTCACTAACAAGAGAGCAACTTCCTGTGAATATTTATTAAAGATTCCCTGTGGCCTTAATATACTTCAAGAAGTTTTGCTGATAAAGTAAGCTTCCATTTAAGCAATAGGTTCCCCAGCTACTTGAATTTGCTGGAAAGCCTATAATGTTAAACCCATCAAAGTATGGCGCTTTGTTTTTTATGCAGATTCCTATCATCATAGTTATATAAGTGCTTATGCAATGAAAATATACATAATACACAAACCTGCCCATGTCACTGAGAATTATTTACAAGAGCTATAAATCAAAGTTGCATCCTGTTCTGTTTTATATTTAAGGACCTACTGCACACATAAAATGTCACATATGCCCAAAATTTGCTTTCGGTCACTTCCTCCCTCCCCAAAAAAACCCCAACAGAATTGAACTGCCTGCTGAAGGCTATTCTTTAGTCAGAGTCCATGCAAAATTGTATTAGAAGCTTTGAAGTTAAAACATGAACATTGACTACCAAAGAGGGCCCTAAAGACAAAGACATTTACTGGATGTAAATGTTCAGTGAAGACAAAGGTCACCTTATACTTTCCCGAAATCTGACTATGTTAGAAACTCCATATCCTGTTCTCAAGTTTTGCTTAAGAGCTGAAGTCTTTTCGTGGAAGGAATCAGCAATGAAATATTATTACCCATGGTGATTGATTACATTGTAATGGCCAAGTTATGATAACCTCATAGGCCATGGGACTGCAAAACCTCTGCTGTAAGGGCAGAGGAATCTGATTCATCACAACACCAGAGCAGATGGGACACGAGCAGAAAAGCTGCCTGGCAAGCCAAGCCTCCAGTTTGCAGGAAATGAGGTTTTATCTGAATTGGTGGCTTTGGTCCAAATCAATCAGGAAATAAACTGTTTTGAAAATGCCCACGAACTGGAAATTCCAAGAAAGGTCACTTCAGAAACATCAAAACACTTCCAAAACACAATTCCTAAGTTCCCAAGGCTGTGGCTGAGCAGTGACATAGTGTCTGGCAATAGCAGCAGCATCTGCGAACGCCAGGTCCACACAGTAGCTGTGGGATCTCCCAAGACCCTCTGGCTCCAGGGCAGCCTTGATGCTGAGGACTACCCCGGGAAGCCTGCCCAAAGTCACAGCTCCACGTCAGGGAGTGCAGGAGCCCCAGCAGTCCTGCTTCAGCCAAGCCTCTTAGTGCTTCCAGACATGGAAATCAAAGTGGAGTTCAAGCTCACGGGATTTTCTTGCTTTAAGCTTTACAGCAGGTTAGAAGTGGTAGCCCAAGACCACCAGCTGAAGTTTCAAACCCCTAAGCCCTGAACAGTCCTTGGTGCCATTGGACAGACTACTCCAAGACAGAGGAGGCTCCATTGCCTGGGCTGACCTGCCAAGAAGTGCTCCAGGAACCAAAGGAGCTCAATTTGGCAAGAATTCACCAAATGGAATAACTTCAGTCAAAACATTTCAGGCCCAGCAGATGTACTGTTTCCAGCTAAACTTTGTTTTACCAATAAATCTCTAACCAGCATGGAATAGCAATATAAAAACCAAAGGTCTTTCTCTCCATTGCTTACCTTCACATAGAGTTGTTTGTATTTATGAAACACAGTGCAAAAGAACACTTACTCAGACCGACTTTAAGATCTTGAGACAAGTGGCTGACACTATTATTACAGATAACAAGAATTCAGCAGCAATGCTTTCAGCTACTCTGTGTGCCCTGGCTGTTCCTTCCCACCTCTATACCACAAGGTACCTCCTCAGATCTCTTGGCAACTGTTCACAGTTTTCAAACTTTTAGAATAAGGTAAAGCTTTTGTTCTGTATAGAAAAGTAAATTATGTACTGAGAACAAGGCAAAGCAAAGACAAAGCGTGACCTCTATATTTGCACATCTGCTTCAGTTCACACTCCAAGTGAGATTTGTTATTAAAAATTTCAGGTAACTGATATGCATTTTGAAGAATGTGAAAGAACAACACTGCTTCCCAGGAACCACAGCAGGATGGTATGACACTTGCTTTTGGTTCTGCAGTGATGATTAAGGAGTTCAGAGGAGGATCAGTTGTTTTCTGAATTGCAGGTATATAATCTAGTTCCCTGAGGTTCCCTTATTTATTTCTGACCCCTTTTAACAAAGAGGGTTTAAATAAAGGTGTTCCTGTATAAACCACCCCTTTTTTTTCTTGTTGAACATGTTATTTACTTGCATCATATAAGCATATTTTAATGCAACACTGCAATTACTTTCTCTTCTGCAGTTTACACTTAAAAGGTCATATGAATTCAAAACAAAACAAACAAACAAAAAACCCCCAAAACCAGAATGCATTACTACAGGGATCTGGGCTGATGGTGATGGTGTATGTGTCTGCTCATGTGGTTTGTGTATCTTGAGCTAAGTTCTTCTCCAGACTCATTTTTCAAGAGTTTACCTGCTCTGACTACCCTTGTTCACAACAGCACCTTTGAAATCTGTTCACTACAGGAGAAAGCTACATTTCGTCATCCAGAGTTAGAAATTGAACACGAATCACCATATATCTTTTTGCCCCACTGCATTAGCTGTTCTGCCCCAAAGTGATTTGAAATGCAAGAGTGCTTTCAAAGTACTACCAGCTGAAAGTTCTTTTCTATTAGTAGATCCCAACCAATTAATTATATTATCACCATCACAGGGTTTCTGGGGAAGGGGCTGCTGGCTCTTACTTGCAGTTTCACATATGTTGCAGGCTGAGAAAGCACTGCTGCTCACCAGCCTCTGCTCTGGACACGAACTGCATTCCAAAGTGAGCTGGAAGTGAGGGGAAAGCCAAACAGGGGCATGTTGGACAAGGGCTCAGAGAAGTAGGGAAGAAGAATGATTTGCTGGGATCAATAAGGAAGGCAGCAGTTACTTCTTTCTCTTGATTAGGAGGATAACAAGTGTAAAACCATATGGCAAGAATGATGCAGGATGAAAACAGAGCAGCACAGCACATAAGTCCAGGTTACTCTGAACCCCTATAAAATCTAGCAAAGCCATTGAAGCTGGGCAATGCTGGGGCTAGACTATCATACCTCACTGGTCCCTGAACACACAAAGGGGAAGCTGGTGCTCCTCCATTCCCACATGTGTATCAATAATAAATCAAATGTGTTTTATAGGGTCTCAGTCTTCCCTTACATCTTCAGGTTGTTTACACACGTGAAGTGGCTGCAGCAAGCAGGTAAAACACTATCAGATAGCCCTGGCAGCTACTGACAACCAACCTGTACAGGCTTTTCGGACTGTAGGAGGTATATGGATAGGGATGATCTAGGGCTATATTTATCTTCTATAATTTCTTCTTTTTAAAATGATTTAGCAGAGTCCCACAGACAAAGGTCTATATTTATCCAAAGAATCTTAATGAGTTGGCTGAATTTCATTTAGCGAATTAGGGTAATACATCTCATCTATCCTGTAAAAGAAGCAATTATGCATCTGGAAGAAAAGCTTGGTTTCCAGGGTCCCTTAAGTTTGTGCCAGTAAAGGTACCAACTGCAACTGTACTTTACAAGAAAAGAAACATTAGAGCAACAACTCTACAACTTACAGTCCAGGATTATAAACTAAGTACTCCCCATGCTCACATTTCATTGACAGAAATGTGGGAACAGGGAGAACATCTCACTTAGTAAAAAAAACCCAAAAAACAACCACGTGTGACTCCAAACATGTATTTTGAAAATACCAAAGAACTATGACATTTTTGCTCTGCCAAAAAAATGATCACATCTTGATTGAATACTTTGCTTTCTCACTTCCTTTTCCGAGCTGAAATGTCAACTATTTATAGTAAAATCCTAATATTACTCAACCACAAATCAGAAAAGAACTTTGATGCCAAATCTGCCACCAAAAAGGCACATTCCTGTTATATACTTGTGGTTTTATTATTAAGAAAACAGAGATGAAACCCTTTGAAATTCTTTGCTGCTTAATGACACAATCACTAGCATGTTACTAAAGCTCAACACTCTGACATTCCAGTCATTATATCTGCAAATACTAAGACATTATGCAATGAGGAAACAATCCTTTTTATTGAAACCAAGGACATCTGATTGTGACAGGTGAATGTTTTACCTACAGAGATGAAATCCATATATATATACTACTTTTATGCAGTCTTCATGTTTCATTTACACACCTTACTAGTTTAAAAGGGTTTAACAGTCAATCAAGAGTTCAAGTATGAAACTCCATAAGAGAAGAAAATTATATCATGTTATTGAAGTCAGCTAGATAAACAATACCTTCTGATTAAGATGATATCATTATGTGCTTCACGATGAACAGTCAGACAGAAAACATTCACCTGGTTTCATATTCAAAATACTTGCTGAGATTCATGTATAAATGGATGAATGAACAGAAGGGTAATTGTGTATTATTTTAATATAAGAAAGTCAAATTTATTCAAATCAATAAGAAAAAAAAGTGTTTCTTTATGTCTTGTGTGGAGTTCTGCCTTACTGAATTTGTGTTTATGATTCTGACAAGCTACAAAAAAAAGGATGTAAATACAGAGTCAACGCTAAATGTGTATCTCTATTCTTTTCCAAGCAAACTGTCACAATATTATGCTCATTAAAGACCTTTCGAAAACTAAATAGCTAAGTGAAACACTAGACTTAATGACTTGCAATAAATATCTCACAACAGAACTGTTTAAGCCACTGTAAAAACAAACCTCTTTTAAACAGCAGAAGCACAAACACCAAACAAATGAGAACCTGTGTTCACTGAAATCACTTGCAGTCTTGCCACTGACTTCAGTAAGTACTAAATCGAAATAAAACTTTCACTACTTTTATATTTCCTTCCTTTATTTTCTTGCTATACCCAGCCAAAGATGGTCTCCTCCTAGAGAAAAAAAGATGACAAAAGTGAAGTCGTACATTCCCTTAAATATAAAGAAGTCAAATATAAAGTGTGACCAATAAAGACTCTATTCAGATTCTTCAGATTTTACTTTAGACTGTCACAGAAGGATTTAGCTTAATAAAAAAGCAAAATCCACCTCC